AAATTTCTTAGAGTAAGATCTCGAAACACTAATGAGTATGATATAAGCAGAGAGAAAGCCTCGGCAACGGTGTGGAGACGCGAAGGGCAGGTGGAGTATGAACGCACAGTAGAGTTTCTCTCTTACAGTAATTTCAGTACCTGCTTCTCCTGCCTTGACAGCCCCGTGGGGCTTGTTCTGAGGGCCTAGCAGAGAAACGAGGCTGAGTGAGGTCTCCCAGATTTCATCTTCTCAATCCCTGCCACATCCTTTACTTAATGTATTTCTCTAAAGTGACTTGCTTTTTGTAAACTAAATACATTTCTTAGAAGGAAACCGTAAACCACATCTGTAAATGAAAAAAATTTAAAAACGCAAATACAAAAGCATTTCCAGCATCAATATAATGAAAGCAAAACAGTGTCACTAAATTCAAGCTAACTAATGTCTTACTCTGAGGTCTGCTCTCTGTTACCAGGACAGATTATTAGCAAATGGTGGAGAAATTAATGACATGCCCGTGACGAACTGAGACTTTCTCTTTGGCATTGTTAGCAGGGCTGAGAAAACAAAAAGATAATTCTCTCTTTTTGCTAGTGCCCTGTACCTCTGAAAACACCGCACACATTGTTAAAAAGGGAAATATCCCCTCCTCCCAAGACAATCCATGTGAAATTTTTTAGAGAGGCAGATTTTCAGAGAGGGATGGGCCTCTTCCCAGGCTCCTCCTCTGCACCCCCCCCCACGCCCCGCACGGTGGGCATTGTTCCCCACTTCTGCTGAGTCACTGTACTTGGGGAAGGAGGCAGTTTCTAGGGAATGCCTTTTGTTCCTGTCCATACTGCTATTTACCTGGTTGGGCTTGGTGTCCTGAGCTGATGATCAATAAAGGATTAGACTTAAAAACAAACCAAACCTGCTTGTCCTTAAATAATGGTATTTCAAGGTAAACATATCAACCCTGAAATAAACCAGGTTTCAAGTTATAATTTGAATTAATTCTGACAACATAATCCAGAGTGCAGGATTTGCCTTCAGGCTATGCTTCCCCGCCCCCCCCCCCACCCTGTCAACTCCACTAATGAAACAGAGAAAATTGAAGAGGAAGAGGGATCTTTATTTCAGGCCAGGGAAATCTTACTATTCTCTAAGCTTTTTTGAAGTGATCAGAACACAGAAATGAGAGCTCACCTCTTCCATCCTCCATCTCTTCTCTCCTTTCTTCCTTTTTCTTTCCTCCCTTCTTCTCCCCTCCGTTGCATGTTTCTTTTTTTTTTTTTTTTTTAAGATTTTATTTATTTATTTGACAGAAAGAGAGAGATCTCAAGGCAGAGGTAGGCAGAGAGAGAGGGGGGAAGCAGGACCCCCGCCAAGCAGAGAGCCTGATGAGGGGCTCGATCCCAGGACTCTGAGATCATGACCTCAGTGGAAGGCAGAGGCTTTAACCCACTGAGCCACCCAGGCGCCCCCGTTGCATGTTTCTGAAGGATCTATGATTTATCAGGATAGCGTTTCCCAGCTTTGGTTCCATTGAATACCAGCTTCTCTAATTCTGCCTAATACATAACCTACCTCTACTGGTAGTTACTTCATTTTTTAAAAACGTAATTCCCATTGTTTTACTTATATACAATCGGTCCCATCCTAAAACAGTGAAACCCGTTAAACCAAATTCTGCCTAGTTCTACATTTCCCCCAACACACAATTAAGAGGGAAAAAAATGTTACAAACCAAACTGAACACTACCAGGTACCTAAAGCTCCCTTCTAACTAGAGTTGGTAGAAACTTCAAGGCTTGCCCAGGAGGGGCATGCAGAGAAGGCCCTCTAAGAATGCTTGCTGGCTCATCACAGTGCCTAATCCCACATCCTTCCATGGTGTTGCTCCAACTTTAGCTCCTGGAGAGATTGTTAAAATATTCCCAGGGTCTCTGACTCACCAGGTCTGGGGTGGGGCCTGGGAGTCTGCCTTTCTAATAAGCTGCCCCAGGTAACGCTGATGCTGCTGGTCTGAGTAGGTCTACTCCTACTGCTCCAAGATAAGTAGGTCTTGGGCCACTGGGCATCAAAATCACTTATAGGTGCTTCTTAAGATGCAGATACCTGGGGGGTGCCTTGGGGGCTCAGCTGGTTAAGGGCCTGACTTTTGATTTCCACTCAGGTGATGATCTCAGGGTCGTGAGATTGAACCCCATGTCAGGCTCTGGGGTTCCCATGGAGTCTGCTTGTCCCTCCCTCTTCTCCTCCTGCTTGCGTTCTCTCTCTAATAAATAAAATCTTAAAAAAAAAAAAAAAAGATGCAGATACCTGGGCACTACATACAAAACATTCTGATTCTTCAGGAGGCGGTTCCCTGGAATCTGCCTTGTCAACCAGCTCTCCAAGGAACCTCTGGAGACCACCTCTGAGAAAACTTGGAGGGAGGTGGCCCACCTTCAAAGTCTGCAGATCAGGGACAACTCCATCACTTTGCTTGGGCCCCAAACCTTAGCACACTGTGTTTCCCTGTTTCCCTCCTAGCCTCCACTCAGTGGGTCAGCAAATTCTACTGGCTCATCTTTCAAAACATATCCAGATTCTCTTTAAAAGACTCTAGCACATGGACTTGGGGATGGAATGGTAAATGAAACAAGATTGGTAAAGTTTTGAGGATCGTTCAACCCAGGAATTCATTTCATTACTCACAATTTTTATGTAGATTTGAGTTCTTCCATAATAATATTTTATCTGTAAGTCTTTGATGATCTAAAATCCATTTCTAGGAATTTATCTTAATTAACATTTTAGATACAGAAAAAAGAAGTGCAAATAAAAGTATTGCTCAAATAATAATAGAGGAAAAATTGGGAACATACTAAGTTCTCCTAATGGGACAATAAACTGTGGGACACTCATCATTGGAATCTTGTCATTAAAAACATTTATTCAGGCCATGTACCAACACGGAAAATGTGATATACTATTAAGTAAAAAATAAGACATTAAATTGTTTCTGCTGCATGATTAAAACTATACAAAGACTCCTACATTTAAAAAAGATTGTAATTTAATAGGGTGCCTGGCAGGCTCAGTCAGAACATCTGACTCTTCATTTTGGGGCTGTAAATTTGAGCCCCACGTTGGGTGTAGAGATTACTTAAAAATAAAATCTTAAAAAAATAAAAAAGTTTGAACTTTAAAAATAATTTTATATATCCAGAATCAGCCCACTTTCTACTATCTTCAACGCAATGACCTTCGTGTGAGCCCCACGATCTGGTCTGCATCCTTGCTTCTACCCCTCCCATCTTTTTACCATGTGGCAACTGAGGGGGGGGGTGTCCTTCAAACTATAAGAAGATCATGACCCTTTTCCATTCAGAATCCTGCAAAGGCTTCCCATTTCTCCAAATACATCTTGACTTTATCACTGCCCTCCAAGATATAGGACCTTGCCTGCTCTGATCTACTGCTCTGTTCCCTGCCTTGCTCTGACTGCTCCAACCACATTGGCTTCCTTGCCATGCTTCACTAACTCACTCACTCTAGCCTCAGGACCTTTGCACCTGCTGTTTTCTCTGCCTGGAATGTGCTGCCTCCAGGTACCTGAATGAGTGATCCCCTCCTTCCTCCTGCTGGCTCTTCAGAGAGGCCTAACGTGAACTCCTCATCCAAACCAGCACTGCTCCCTCTCTCAACTCCCTCATACTCTTTATTTTTCTCCATAGTAGTTACTTGGTACCCTCCCTGATACTTTTGTTCATTGTGTCCTATACTTAATACAATGCAAATCCCTTGAGAACAAAGGCGTTCTGTCTGATTCTCTGCTGAATCCTTGTACCTAGCACAGTGCCTCACATAGCAGGTCATTTGAATGAAAGAACGGTGGACTAAATAACTACTCAGAAGAACTGTAAGCTTCATGTGGGCTTTCTTTCCTGGGGCTATCTCTCCTTCCCCAAAACCTCCTGGCAGTGACAAACCCATAGATAGCAGGAGCCCAGTGAGAACTAAAGTGGCTGACGGTTCTCCCACCAGAGGCCTACACACACACACACACACACACACACACACACACACACGCACACACACCTGTGTAAAGTGCATCCTGTGACGTGGTGGCCATAGGGTGTGTAGCTAACGGTCATGGCTTTGGAAGGGCTGATGCCGGCATAACACCACCAGCTATGTAGCCTTGAGAAAATGATGAGAATTTTCTGAGTGTTAGTTTTTCCTTGTGCAGAAGGAGAAGGATAGTAACAGCTTCTACTCCCGAGGGCTGGAGTCTGGACTCAATTTCCATAAAGCATTTAACAAGCACAGTCCCTGGCACAGAGTAGGTGTGCGACAAGAGACCCTCAAATTAATCACCAGTCATATAATGTGCCTTTGGCTCTTTCCAGTTTATAAAGTGCTCTTATGCCTGCTTTATCTGATGGGAGCCTTTCAACAACCTGTCGGTTTTATCACCATTTTTATAGGTGAGGCACCTGGATCAAAGTGCTCGCCTATGGACACAACTGAATCTGACTACAACCCCGGACCCTCTTGTCCAGAAATACACCTGTTATCACTGCCAGTGCTAACCAAAGTGGTCTGGACAGCCCACTAGAGCCCCCAGACTCTAAACTGTGTGCCTAGTGTGAGCCTGTGATGGGCAAATAAATTCAGCAAACAAAATCAGCCAGTGAGCCAGACCTTCCCAACAACCCCACGGAGGCGGGGGTGCATAGGCTGCCGCACCTCTAAATGAAGCCTGCAAACAAGTCTGGACAGACAAGCCATCTCTAAGAGTCCACCCAGGATTTAGAACACAAAAACACAAAAGCCCTTTCTCTAGTTTCTCCGTTTCCAGTTGGGCAGCAGCTCTGAGGAGCAAATGCCACCTTTAGTGTTTGAGATCCTTGTTGCTCTGCCACCTCTAGCCTACTCTGCCTTGACAGAGACAGTGTTTCTTCCCAAAGGGAACCCGAGGGGGAGGCCCTGCATGGACCTCTGGGCCTGGCTCACATCAGTTTCCTCCACCTTTCTAGGCCCCTTTCTAGGACTGAAGGCCAAGGGAAGTCACGTGGTGAGGAAGAGACCAGCAGGTGTTAGGCGTGAATTTTAGAACCACAAGGCCAAAACACCACACAGTCTTGGGAGTCATAGATTATCACAACTCCGGCACCTGAGAAACAGAGAAACTCACAACTTAATACCTTAAGCCTCATGGGGTTGGCAGAGATTCCCCTGGATGGGAAGGGGCAGACTGGGAATCTGATGGCTTCTGGGTCAGGGGCATCTCCCGCCTGGTCAGAGGCTTAGCCAACAGGCCCTGGTGAGAATACAGCCTGAGGGCTCCAGCCCCAGGAGGGAGGCTCAATGGACAGGTCTTGGATAGCAACTTAATGGCAAAATTCTACAACCAGGCCCTGTGGAAGACAGATAAAAGGGGAGAGGCAGGCTTCAGAAGGATGCTGCCAGGCCATCCAGCCAGGCCAACCAGCCCTGGCCCCTGGGTGCTCCAAGATCTCGATGGAGCCAGGTTTGTGGCAGGCACCAATCACTAGGAGACTCTGACAGCAACACCATGATGGTCTGGCTCGATGGCACTTGCTCCTTGCTTGGAACATGGTGTGTGAGCAGCACTGTGTCTGCACAGCACTGCACAGCAGCCTGATCGATAACTTCCATTTGCATAGTGTTCACAATGGAGATGCGCGCTCATGCCCCAAACCCTGGAAATGGCCTCGGAAGATGGGTTGACAATGGCTCTGGCCAAGCAGTAGGGGTGGCTCTGGCCTGGTCTAAGGGCTACTTTGGGTCATTTGGAAAAAGGATCAATACAACCACTCCACCCCTGGCTTCATACTCATTCAAGGTCACTTTAGGTATCTACGTTAATGAACTTCACTGATTTTTAAAAATGAGGGAGAGTTCTTGGGTAATCATGATCTCATATTAAAACTATAAAAATCTCTGTTGCTCTCTCTATAAAAAAATCACTGAAGAGATTAGCCCCCCCAGGCTGTTCAGAGCAGGGCAGACCAAAAGACAGAGGTTGGACTGCTTTGCCAGTGTGCGAAATTCCCAGGAGAAACAGCAGGAGGCACACGGGGAGTAGAGATGCTCTGGCTCCAGAAACCTGAAAGCCCTGTGCCCTGGGAGATGGAGTCCTCCTCCAGAAGTCCTGGGTGCTTTTCTGTCTCTGGCAGGAGAGCAGAAGAGCTTGTACTCTTGGGAATCAGTGCTGGGAGCACTGCTGGCTGTGAGGCCTGGCAAGCGGGACCAGCTCAGACTGGTTATGTCCTCCAGCCAGGATCAGAACTCATCCCGCAGCTGAGGGGGCTTGTCCATGCCGAAGAAAGAGGATGGCTTCCCCTGGAGGTCCCGTTCCCGCTTCACAAAGGCAGTGAAGGAGGAGACACAGTTGCCAATAAAGTGGTCAGCTTGGCCAAGGATGTACAGGTCGATCTGGGCCACTTCAGGCTTCAGGCTTACCACTTTTACCTGCAGGAGGAAGGGCAGAAGTTTTTCACCAGGGAGCTGACCAGTTCGGCCAAGGCCTGCAGCCATACCCTCCCTCAGCTTTCTTCCCCTGAGTGGAAAGGACACACACAAAAAGTGGGGCAGAGAGGATTGAGACCTGGGGTCGGGCATTCTGGCAGCAGTATTGTCCAGCAGCTAGGAAGAGGCAGAGGGAGAGGGAGAAGCACATGGGGATCGCTGAGTCAAAGAAAGACATGAACTCATGACCTGAGCCAAAGGCAGATGCTCAAACCACTGAGCCATCCAGGAGGCCTCTTAAATGGTGCCCTACTGCTCTTCACATGAAGATGACAAATCTTGAATGGGGCCTACAAAGCCCTGTTCAAGTCACCTCTCCACCTCTTATTCTCACCACTACCCACCAGGCTCCCTCCTGCCTCAGGACCTTTGCATGTACTCTCCCTCTGTTTGGAGTGCTCATCTTTTTGTCTGGTTAATTCTTACTTAACCCTCACTCTGCAGCCCCAGTCTCACCTCTGTGGACCCTGATCTAGGGCAGAGTCCTATGCTCTACATTCTCCCAGAACCACCTTCCTTTACTTTGGAGCACACATCTCAGTTTGTAGTTTCTACTCTGATTAAGATCCGTCTCCTGCATCTGATGGGGTTAGGGGTGTGGCAGTCTTCTGGTCACTGCTGGCTGGGACCAGCCTGAATAAACATCCACTGACTGGACAAGTGAATGAGTGAGCCTCTGCCCCTACGTGAGCTCCTGGACCTCTCATGCAGCATATATTAGAGTTCTGTGCAAAGTCTCTTTTCCTGAGTCTAGACTGGGAGCTGTACAGGGCAAGACCACATCTTACTTATCAGTATCTCCAGCTTGGCAGGGCCCCAGCTTAAATGAGGAGCAACGATAGGCTCTGAGCCCATGAAGAAAGGGGCTGAGGAGTGGGGAAAGGCAAGAACGTGGCACAGGAAAAGGAAAGAGAAAATGGTAAGAGGCTCAAGGTGTAACAAATATATCAACTCTAAAAACTCACAAAAAAAACTCCCTGGGACTCTCCAAATGCTTCAACTTAGTACAGAGGTGGGGGTGTGGGCAGAGCTGGGGCTGAAAGTGCTTTGCTGTCACACAGAGATTTCTGATGTAACAAAAATCATCATCTTGCTATGTGGATGGTAGCAAAGAAATAATACTAGTTTAATCACGGCCAAAATCCCCGAGCAATTCCACCTACTCTCTGAAACTTACCCGCTCTGTGTCATGCCCACTATAATTAGCTCTGAGACCTCTTGGGTAAATTCTATCCCTTCTCGGGAGTTTGGTTTCCTCAACTAGATTATGCAGGGGTTGGGTTGGAGGAGCCCCGAGGGCTCCCGGCTCTGAGGGTCTTCTACAGAGTGGGTGGGAGGGAGGCCAGCCGGGATGCTCGGCGTCAGCACCTTCTCTCCAAGTCAGGGCTTCCAGCCTGTGTCTGGGGTAAAGGGAGAACAGGGCCCCTCACATAAAGCCATGGGTTCTCACTGCTAGAAAACAACCCTTTTACGGTCTGTGCAAGCATTTAGGGCTTTCATTCACCCATGAAATCTTACTGAATGCTTACCATTAATTCAGTCATTTCATTGACACATACTTACTTATTACCTACCCTCCACTGATACGGTACCAAACACATCCACTCGTTATTCACACACTGAATATATACTATTTGCCACTTCCTTGAGCACTTACTAAGCACAAAGAGCCTTCCCTTTATTCGTCAGTCACTGACTCCTACTATCAGTAACCACTAACATTATTGAGGACTTGCTTTGTCCTGAAACTGTTTTAGTTTCTTCATATCTGATCTTCACAACCGCCCAGTGAGAGAGGACTGCTCTCAGTCCCACTTTACAGAAAAGGGAACAGAAGCACAGAGAGGTAAAGTAACTTGCACAAGATGGCACAGTGAGTAGCGCCCATGTTCTCCGGCTCCCGAGTCCAGGCCCTTAATCTCTCTGCTACGCTGGATTTCTCCCGAGGGCCCACTCTTTACGTGCTTATTCGAGTTGCTGAGCATCTACCATGGTAGGCGCGGTCCTAGACATTGGTGTAGGCAAGGCCCCCAGGTGCTGAGGAACAGACAGTGAGTGAGTCTTGGACTCTGCCTTTAAGGAGCCACAGCTCTTGGGAAGAAGGCCGTGTTTCTGGCCTCACACAGACTCGACAATGCCTCCAGAGCAGATGTGATAAAATCCTGTGATGGTTCTAGAAGGGACATACTGGCTACAAGAGTACAGGGAAATCTGGAGAGAAGGTGCCAAGTTGTTTGGGCCGGGGTTTGAAGGAAGGATAGGAACCAGAGCAGAGGCGGACATCTAAGTCGGGAGGACATGAAGCATGTAGAGGGAGTGGTGGGACCACCCTGGAGCTTTCTTCAATTCCCTTCCCCTTACACCCCCATTGGGGCCATACACACCTTCTCTTTAAAGAGCTCTTGGATCTCGGGCATGTAACTCTCGGAATCCGTGGCGATGTAGACCGACTGGGCATTCAGCGTGTCCACCCAGAGCTTCACAGCCCGTCTGATTTCCTTCAGGTCAGGGAAGCACATGGTCACGGTGAGAGGGGCAGCCGTGCTGCGGCTGTAGCCCACGCACTGTGGGGAGGCCATGAAATGCGAGCCCGCAGTCCCATCCTTCAGCATGGCGCAGGCATTCTTCTGCAGGGTTGCAGGGGGACAGGGTTAAAAACGGCAGCGGGGCCGGGACCCCAGAAGCAAGAGCCACTGAGTGGCTATACAGAAGATCAGAAGGCTATACAGAAGATCAACTATGTTTTTAAAAAAAGTATTGAGGGAAGAGGGAAATACATCAAGACAGTAACAGTGGCTGTCTCTGTGTAGTGGCATACCGGCTTTCTACAAAATATTTTTTTCTTCATCTTACTGTATTATCTGGGACCTCCAGTAGAGTTCTGAACCGCGGTGGTGATAATAGGCAGCCTTATCTGATTTCTGACTTCAGTGGGAACACTTCTGATAGTTCCAATGAAGTGCATGTTTGCTGTGGGTTTTGGAGAGATAGGCTTTATCAGGTTAAGGTGGGTCCCCTCCATTCCCAGTTGGTTAAGAGGTTGCCCTTTTTTTTTTTTTTTTTATCATGAATGAGTGTTTATCAAATGCTTTCTTGGCCTCTACTGAGATGATTATACGATTTTTCCTCTTTGGGTGCTAGTATAGTGAATTTCGTTGCATTCCAGTTATGAAGTTTACTTGTATCATATGCTCTTTAATATGTTACCGGAATTTACTTGCATCTGTGCATCTATGTTTGTGAGAAAGAGCTCTACTCTTCTGAACTGACCTTATCCATGTTTGGTTTAGTGTTCTGCTAGCTTTATTAAAAACAGCACCTTATATCTTTTTATGTTCTTAGCATGTATACATGGAAAACTGTTTCTTAAAGGTTTAGCTGAGACCACTCATGAGATAGTCTGGGCCCAGATATACTGAGCCTCGCTCCTTTTCTTTATGGAAGGAGGGCAGGGAGGGAGTCAAGTGCATAAACGTGTGACTACAGTTGACCCTTGAACAACACAGGGCCTAGGGGCTACCATCCCCTACCCCGTGCAGTCAAAACCCTGTGTATAATTTTTGACTTCCCCCAAACTTAGCTACTAACAGCCTACTGTAGACCAAAAAGCCTTACTGATAACATAAAGAGTTGATAAACACATATTTTATATATTACATGTATCACATACTGTATTTTTACAATAAAGAAATCTAGAAACAAGAGAAAGTTACTAAGAAAGTCATAAGGAAAAGAAAACCCACGTACAGCACCTCCTGTAAAACCTCATCGGCATGTTCAGGGGCCCACGCCATCTAAACCCATGTTGTTCAAGGGTCAACCATACCTCCTCGATTGACTCTGAGTGGATTTTGATCTAATTTCTATCCTTTGCAGTATTTTTCAAGTCTTCAACGATGAGCATTTCTAACATACACACATACATACATCTTCTTATGTAAATTAAGGAGACTGTCTACAGTTCTGTTATTTTTACACAAAAGATAATCTGATGAGGTTTCTGCACATTTAAGCAGCCTCCAAATTTGGAGGATGACATCTTCAGTTCTTGGGGGCCCCACCCAATCTCCAGAGCCTGTTTTTCAACAAAGAGTCTACTGGCTAAACACTGAGCTGGACCACAGGACTCCTGGGCTGTGGGTCTCTCTCTGGCTGGCTGCCTGACTTGAAGACTAGCCTGATATTTATTTATCCATCTGCAAAATAAGGACAAAAATGGCAATTGTTAAAATGAGGGCTGGCAAGCAAGCACTTTGGAGCCGCATTTCTGATGTGTCTAAGGCGGGATCGTGGAACATAGCCCTGTGGACTTGGCTAAGTGAGACCTCTCTGCCCTGGCTGGGACTCGATACAGTGGGTTCAGGGTTCAACACCCACAGGCATGGGCCCTAATCAGGGACACGTCCAAACCAGCCCTGAGAGGAAGGGAGAAATTACCCAGTCAGAGCCAATGCGCAGATGAATGCCCACGTAGGGTCGGATGAGGTGGGTGCGGATGTGGGCCTCTCCCGTCCTCACCATCTCATCTGACCACACCATGTATTTCTGGAGTGGCCTGTGCTCCTCCAGGACAGGGAACTGGGCCGGGGCCCCTGGCAGGGCCAGCACTGGATGTTCCTTTGCAGAAAATCTAGGCATGAGACGGAATGAGGGGAAGTTAGACAGAGGACACACAGACAGCCTGGCCGCCGCCCCCACAGGACAAAGGATGGTGTTGCACCATGCCCCACAGACCCTGCAGAGGGGCCCCTCTAACGTGCAAGAAGCACGAGAGGCTGAGAAACCCCAACAGGCTGATAAGGAACCATGGCAGCGACAACAGGCACCATATACAATACTGTCCCGCCGCACGGAATTTACAACCCTCTTTGCTTGCTTAACAATTAAAAATTTACAGTAGAGCATTCCAACCTTTTGTATGTCATGCTGGTTTCCAGTCTGTGGTGTGGTAATTCACTCCGGGGTGGGGTGTCTGGACCGCGCCTCTGCCCTTTTACCCACATGGCGGGACCGGGACATGCCACAGCTTCCAGAGGGCCGTGGACAGATCACGCTCACAGGGAAGGTGTACGCACTGGGTGAGGCCATTCACTCAACATTTAACATATATTGGTTGACTGCCTACTGTGTGCTGGGGCCCAGGTGAGAACAAGACAGGCATGGTCGCTGTTCTCATGAAAAGCATCTGCCATCTGCGGACGCCCCTGTCGTACCCTCCCGAAGGCTCTCCTTCCCCCTTGCACACTATGCACTTTGCAATTATCTTCTCCTGTCTTTTCTGTAGGACACAGTCTTCTGAAAGCAGAGCCTCTATGAGCCTAGGACAGTGTCTGGCAGATGTCAGAGCTCAGTGAATATTTGCTGAGCGAATGAGTGAGGAGAGAGCCCATGCTCCCTCTTCAGCTAAATCCAGAGTCTGTCCTAGCAACACGAAACATCCTGATGGTTCCATCAACTCGAACGCACTTTCAAGCTCCAGATCTCTGTATGCTTCTTGCCTTGACCTGGACTGCCTTCCCTCTGTCTGGGAAATTGTGAAATCAGGGGCGCCTGGGTGTCTCAGTGGGTTAAGCCACTGCCTTCGGCTAGGGTCATGATCTCAGGGTCCTGGGATCGAGTCCTGCGTCGGGCTCTCTGCTCGGCGGGGAGCCTGCTTCCCTCTCTCCCTCTCTGCCTGCCTGTCTACTTGTGATCTCCCTTTGTCAAATAAATAAATAAAATCTTTAAAAAAAAAATTGTGAAATCAGCACAGCCACTCTGGAAAACGGTTTGGCAGTTTCTTGTAAAACCAGAATGCAGTTACCATATGCCCCGGCAATTGTCCTCTTGGACATTTATCCCAAACCAATGAAAACCCATATTCACACATGAACCAGGAGACGAACGTTCGTTCATAGCAGCTTTGCTCATGATAGCTCCAAAATGGAAACAGCTCTAACGTCCAAGAAGTGACTAGCTAACCAAACCATGGCGCATCCCCGCATGGAATGTGACACGGGAGTAGCAAGGAACAAACCACTGAGACAGGTGACAATGTGGGATGGCCCTCAAGGGAGCTATGCAGAGAGAGAGAGAGGCCAAGCCCTCAATCTTACATACTGTGTGATTGCGTTTATGTAACATTTCTGAAATGACATAATGGAGAAGAGGACAGAAGTGGAGAAGAGGTTAGTGGTTATCAGGGGGGTGTGTGCCTGTGGTGTGTGCACACGCATCGTTAAGGACATGGGTGTAGTCACATCTTGGTCACAGAGAATCCTCGTGAAGTTAGAACTGTTTGGGTATTTTGACTGTCGTGATTACACAAGCCTACATGTGCGTAAAATTGAACAGAACTACACACACACGCACGCGCACATGCAGAAGTGAGTACAAATAAAACTAGGACAATCTGAATACGATGGATGGATTGTATCAGTGTCAACATTCTGGTTGTGATGCTGTACTACAGTTTTGCAAAATGCCAGCAGTGGGCAAAACTGGGTAAAGGGTATCTGGGAATCTCTTTGCTTCCTTTCTTTCCTTCTTTCTTTTTCCCTTCCTTTCTTCTTTCCTTCCTTCCTTTTCTTTCTTTCTTTTTTTTTTGTCTTTGTATTATTTCTTACAACATGTGAATCTACAATTACCTCAATAAAAATTTCAATGAAAAGCTGTTAAATATCTCAAAGCATACAGAAAAATACAATAACTTTACAACCCACATACCTATGACGCAAATTAGCAGATATTAATGCTTTGCTGGGTCTCAGATTTTTTAAAAAAGAGACACTGAAATAAAAGGTCTATCTTGTCATCTTTCCCTCCTTTACTTCCTCCTCCCAGAAGATACGGTGGCTTTATACATGACTACACTTTTACTATTTATACAAAAAGGTATTATTCTGTGTGCTTTTCACACACTGTAATGGCACAGGCCCAGGCTACCGAGCCAGACGGCCTTGTGCTCGTGTTGACTATGGCACCTGCTAACTTGGACAGGTGACGTGCCCATTCTGTGTGGCAGTTCCCTTATCTGTATAGCAGAGCTAATAATAGCTCCTGACTCGCAGGACTCTTGAGAAGATTATACGGATTAATCAGGCAAAGACTTTAGAACAGTACTCGGCACAGAGAAAGCTCTTAAGAAATTCTATCACTATCACCATCATTGTCCCACTGCACGAAACCCACTCCAAGTCTTTAGAAATTCAACTTCATGCTTTACAGACTTGGACACGTTGACCATGTTAGCTTCTAAGTTTCCCATTTTGCACGAGTAAGCACAGCAGTGCTGCAGTGGGCATGCCCCTTTCTTCACACCCAGCCTAAACCCTCATTCTACAGACACCTCCCAACCCTCCAAGACCAGCTGCCACTCCCAAGCCCCGGCTCCTACGGGAGGGCTCCCTGTCCCACTTCTCCTTTGCTGCCTTCTGCCCACCGATGCGCTCCACAGCCATCTCCCCTGCTCCACCATCAGCGCACAAGGGTAGGAGCCTGGGCCGTTCCACTCACCACAGTTCACACACACACTGGTCCAGGGCTTGTGTCAAGGAAGCAACAAGCAAGTGCTCGCTGACATCCTGGCTCTGCATGACACTCGTTTCATTACAATAATCTTATATGTACACGTATGGGAATCACGTATCGAGCCTTATTACGTGACCGGCAACGTTCTGCTTGCTTTACGTGTGTGAACGCATTTGGTTCTCACAGGAGCCCGGTGAGGTAAGCACTATTGTTATTCTCCTTTCACAGATGAGGAAACGGAGGCACAGAAAGGTCATGCAACCAGGAATTGGTGGAGCTGGGATTTGAAACCAGGCAGTATGCTCTGGAACCTGGTGTTCTTAACTATGTCCCTCACTCCCAACTCCCCCACCGCCATCAGTGAGACCCTCAAAAGCAGAGTCTGCACTCTCTGTTTCTGATCTGTAGCCCCAGCACAGGCCTCAACACACAGTGGGTACAATCAATACTTTTAGAATGAATGGTTGAGGGAATGAGCAGCATTCATGGGTCTTACCAGAAACACCAGGCCAGGTTGTCAGGGGTCAGCAGAAGAAGCAGCGCATATGAGCTGAACACCTACCACTGGGCCCTCAGCCAAACTCCTTTCCGATGTCACCTCAGAAGATTTTTAAAGGAGAAAGCCAGAGTTTGTGATCTCCCGGGTGGTGCAACCGCTAGGACAAATCGGGAACTGTGCGCTCTCTGACCTCTTGGAGAGAACCTGCAGTTAACCCGTGGTGAATTCTAGATTCGGAATGTCCATCCCCTCTCCCTATATCCGGATCAGTACGTGGCTGCCCCACTGGGACATCAGCTCAGACCTGATGAGCATCAGGAGGTCCAGACCGATGTGTTTATGTACTCCCAATGAGAGAGGAGAGGGCTGGCTGTTTGGAAAGAAAGGGAGTACTAAGGGTGTTGTTTGGAAAGAAAGCCTCAGCAGTTCCATCCGCCCCTGAGCACCCTAGGTCAGGCCCTTAGCCTGGTCAATGTCCAGTTGAAAAAGGCATGTACCCTTGCTGCTGGGTGCAGTGAACCTCTGGGGTTCTTCCCCTCCACCCCTCAACTACTGAGATGCCTCTGCCCAGCTGAGGTTTCTCTATACACAGCATCTGCTCATGCGCCCAGAGCACACATGTGGGGCAGTGCGTGAACACCACACTGAGTGCAAAGGATGCAGGGACATGAAGGAGGCAGGCCCTTGTCTCAATGTCCCTGTCAGGAAGGACTACCTTTCTCTCCCACTCTTTGCAGGAATGGCTCCTCAAACTTCGGGTCTCAGTCTGGTCCCAGCCCTGCCAATTACATGTCACTTGTTTATGGCCTCTGAGGAAGGCTGCAGCCTGGGAGCTCCGTAACGATAAGGGCTGGCGGTGGAGCAGGGGAGATGGCTGTGGAGCGCATCAGTGGGCAGAAAGCAGCAAAGGAGAAGTGGGACAGGGAGCCCTCCCGTAGGAGCCGAGGCCTGAGAGTGGCAGCTGGCCTTGGAGGGCTGAGAAGTGTCTGTAGAACGAGGTGTTAGGGCTGGGTGTGAAGAAAGGGGCGTGCCCGCTGCAGCGCTGCTGTGCTTACTCGTGCAAAATGGAGAACTTTGAAGGAAGCGAACACGGTCAACGTGTCCAAGTCTGTAAAGCATGAAGTTGAATTTCTAAAGACTTGCAGTGGGTTTCATGCAGTAGGACAATGATGATGGCAATAGTCAGGATTTCCTAAGAGCTCCACCTAACTTCATGCCACGAGAATGGTTCAGCATGACGACCCATGGCCTTTCAACATTTGATGTGTGATCAGTATCTACTGAATTAAACCTCTGCCAGGGTATTCACAGACTCAGAAGCAGCAGAGCTAGAAGTATTCTTAGAAGTCACCTAAGTGGGGAAGAAATGCCTCTTTATCCCCTTCTCCTGGAATTAGCTGGACACATGGCAGCCCCCAAAGAAAGAGATTTCTATGTACCTCTTGCAGTTAAGGTATGGCGACCATGTGTCTAGGAACTAGCCAACGAGATGCAAGAGGGTTATATGGGACTTCTAGAAAGGTTCCTTAAAAAGGGGAGGCTGTGCCCCCCTTCTGCCCTTTTTTCCTTCTAGCTGACTGGGGCAAGGTTATAATGGCTAAAGTTTCATCAGTCCTATGAGAGGACACTGAAGATAAAAGCTGGTACTGGGACGGCTGGGCAGGGCAGGGATCCTGAGCCCTGACCACACAACAGAGCTGCCATCCAGGAGCGGGTTGCAGACCCAGTACTTCTCCTCTTTAAGAAAACAATACATTTCTATCTTCTTAATCTGCTACTATTTGGGGGTTTTCTGTAACATGTAGCTTAAAGTAAGCTGGTATACCTAGACCTGTGGCCATCCAAACATTTTGTTGACATACAAGAGGATTACTGGTTAAAGGTGGTGGGAAGGAACCTGAGCCCCTCCAAGCTGGCCCTGCGTTGCCAGCCTCATGGCACTAGAGGCCCTTGTCAAGAACTGAGGAACAGTACAGAAACCACAGACCTTGGTCACCCTCTTCATTTTAGAGATGGAACGCTGGCCAGAGAAGGGAAGCAATATACCTCGTCCCACAGTGAGCCAGGGAAGAGCCTGGCCCTTTCCAATGCCACTCTCCCTATGCCCATACCCCTGCCCCCAGAGGACACCTTTCTACAACAAGCGAGTGTCCACTATTTTAGAAAATGTTTAGAATATATACGATCTCCACCTCCCTCCTACAAAGCACTCAGGTTGCTTATCAGGGCCTACAGGGCCTACAGAGCCCCGTGTGGTCTGACCCCTGCCACTTCTCCAAGCTCCACACCTGTGTAAAAGATTAATTCTTCAAATCTCCCCTTGTTAGATGGGCTCTATGTTCCCTCCCAACTGTATGAAGCAGAAGTGACTCTGTCCCAGTCACCAGGCCCAGGTTCTAGGGGCCAGCAGTGTCTACTTCCCATCTCTGGAAACATTCATTCCCTGGTTGTACCCTCTCAGAACTTGGCTGATATGATGCTGTCAGAAGTCCAAGCCACATGGAGAGGCCGAGTGTACTCACATCAACCAACTGCCCTAGCTGAGCTCCCCGAGGACAGCCAGCATTACCGGCTAGCCATGAGCGAGCTCTCTTGGACATGCAGCCCAGCTGGGCTTCCGGACTCCAGCCTCCGCTGACAGCTGACTGCGACCACATCAGACCAAAAGCAAGAAGTGCCCAGCTAACCCAAGTGTCCATCAACAGATGAATAGCTAAACAAAATGTGGTCTGTGCACATAATGAACTATTCAGCCTCAGAAGGACTAAAATTTTGATACACAGCACAATGCAGATAAGACCGGAAGACAGTATGCTAAGTGAAATAAGCCAGATACAGAAAGACGAATATCATATCCCTCCACTTATATGAGACCTAGAATAGGCAGAGACAGAAATCAGAGACAGAAAAGTTGAATAGAGGGATGGAGCGGGGGGTGTGGGAGAACGGGGAGAAGCTGTTTAATGGGTAAAAACCTTCTGTCTGGAGTGATGAAAACGTTCTGGAGATGGAAGGTGGTGACTGCTGCACACAACATGGCACAGTCCTTAATGGGACCGAATGTACGCTTAAAACAGTGGTCACAAAATCACACACACACACCCCGGTAACCACTTTTTGAAATCTTGTGTTTATGTTTAGAACTGATCCTGCCAGCAGTATTTTCTAATCTGGTAAATATGATATTAATTCCTCCTCAGAAGAGACAGTTAAGTAATACTCGATCACAAACCAAACCCAGTAGTTTCACATTAAGCTAATCTGTACAGGTGTACAGGTGTGTATAAAAGTATGTGGAGGATCGAAGTACATACACCAAGCTGCTAAGAGTGTTTTTTGAAGGGGGGGAAAGGATTACGAGTAAATGTAATCCTTTTTTTTTTTTTTAAAGATTTATTTATCTGAGAGAGAGTGAGAGAGAGCATGAGAGAGGAGAGGGTCAAAGGGAGAAGCAGACTCCCCATGGAGCCGGGAGCCCCGTTGCGGGACTCAATCCCAGGACCCTGGGACCATAACCTGAGCTGAAGGCAGTCACCCAACCAACTGAGCCACCCAGGAGCCCCTGTAATTCTCTTCTTTATTAAAAATTTAAAAATCTCCCACCAAATCTGTGGTGGGTTCTAAAGGGTATTTATACCAAGAAAGGAGATGCTTAACATGGATGGAAACTGCACAGTTGGGATTCGGAAAGAAGAGGGAGAACCAAAACCCGGAAGGACTGCCTCACTGAGCACCACCAACCTAGGCAACTCGGAAATAACTGCCTGCTGCTGGGGAACTACTCCCAAACTGGCTTATTATGCAGTAACAGACGATGGAACGGTCCCCACTCTCCTCCTCGCTCACTCTACACCAGCCACACTGGCCTTCTGTCGGCCCCTCCATCACACCAAGCCTGTTCCAGAGCCTCTGTGCTCCATGTCCCCTCCAGGAAGAACTACCCTTCCCTCCAGTTTTTCCCACGGATGGCTCCTTCTCTTCAGGTCTCCCATGGACTGAATGTTTGTGTCCCACCCCTGCCTCAGCCCTCCGATTCATAGTTGAGGTCCCAATCCCCAAAGTGATGATATTAGGAGGTAGGGCATTTGGGAGGCAATAAAGTTTAGTTGAAATCATAAGGGTAGAGCCCCCATGATGAGATTAGTGCTTTGTAAGTGAGCCTACTCTCTCTCCAACATGTGAGGGCACAGCATAAAGGCAGCAAGCAAAAACCACCAGAATCCAACCATGGTGGCACCCTGATCTCGGACTTCCCAGCCTCCAGATGCACAAGAAATAAGCGTGTTGTTTGAGCCTTCAGGCTGTGCTATTTTGTTATAGCAGCCGGAGCTGACCAAGACAAGGTCTCAACCCTCCAGTCACACATCACCTGTTTACGTCCTTCATGGCAGGCACCACAGCTTCTGAAAACAAGGAGGTGATCAAACGGAAATGCCCCTCTGAGATCAGCCATGAGGGACGAGTAGAACCCACCTTGACTGAGTATCCTCAGTAGCTCCCGAATTAGTTCAGGAATCCCAAAGGGGAATTGGCAGCTGTTACTGGCACAGCTACTCCAAGGTGATTAAGAATGGGTGCTCCTGGGGCGCCTGGGTGGCTCAGTGGGTTAAAGCCTCTGCCTTCGGCTCAGGTCATGATCCCAGGGTCCTGGGGTCAAGCCCTGCATCAGCTCTCTGCTCAGCAGGGAGCCTGTTTCCCTTCCTCTCTCTCTGCCTGCCTCTCTGCCTACTTGTGATCGCTGTTAAATAAATAAATAAATAAATAAATAAAATAAAATCTTCAAAAAAAAAAAAAAAAAGAATGGGTGCTCCAGAATCAGACTGCCTGGGTTCAAATCCTAGCTTTGCCACTTCAAGCTGTGTGACCTTGGGCAAGAGACTTCACTCCTCTTTGTTCAATTTCCCTACGTGTAAAGCACAGACAATAGTAACTCCTGTCGCACAGACTGGTGGAAGGATCCAGTGAGTTATCACCTTAGAAGACTTACGTAGTGAAATGAAAGCTTAGAACGGTGTTTGGTACACAGTAGGCACTAAATAAACAGCAGCTTTATTACACATTAAAGAGTTACATTTGGCCTGCAGATGCCCTCTCAATAGCTGGATGACCCTGGGCAAGTTATCTTATCTCACTGAACTGTTTCCTCACCTGCCAAATGGAAATCAATCATAAGACCCACTTCATGGAGTTTCTCAAAGTTCCTCTTTATATGAAATAAAGCATGTGAATAATCATATTAACAGCTAATATTCGTTGGCCCCCTACTATGAACCATGTACTCTATCCCCTAGGAGGCAGATGCCACAGGGCTCCTTCCAGTCAACCATGAGGGGATTCAGGCCAGACAGCTGGAGAGGCTGTTCAGGGTCTCCTGAGTGAGAGGGACAGGGCTGAGTCCGAGCCCAGGTCTGTCTGATCCTAAGCAAAGACTCCTTTCTCTACCTCAGTCTACCCTTGGTCTATAGAATGCCAAGCCTATGACCACGTATGAATTCCTACGTTCCTCACAGCCCTGAACCCAAGTCTGACTTTTAAGCCCACGTTCGTTCTTGCCAGGCTATAGCATCAAGGAGAAAGCACTCTGTTCGTTAGCATCATTATAACTAGCCTGTGGCTCCCTGAAGGCTGAAGCTGGATCTTCCTCATTTTTATGTATCACCTCTGGCCTTTGAGCACTATGTCTCATATGTGACAGACGCCCTATAAATATTTCACAGCCTGTGCCTGTGCCCTGCTAACCTATTTTTTTTAATAGGGCTTACTGGAGTGCAATTAATAAAGCACATCCAATTATTATCAGGATGACATCACTTCTCAGTCTGTACCCAAAGTGGCTTTTCTCAAGAAGCTGCTTCCAATTTTCACCTTGTGAAGAGGAAGGTAACAGGGGAGTGATTCTCACGCCCAGAGGAGGAAATCGACACCCGTGTGACTGCACCATATTCTTTTTATGACATCCTTTATCGGCTGATAAACTCTTGCTCAACCTTGTGGCAGATCAACGTCTAACCGTGTCAGGCGTTGAGATGGGAAAAGATCACACAGGATCCCAAGTTCAACAGACAGAATGGCTGTACCTTTGTTCTCAAACATCAGGGTGTGGCGCAGGGGGAGAGTGGTGCAGGGAGAAGGCCAGGAGGGTGCTGCCTTTTTAGGGGCCCCGTGCCCCTCCCCTAAACCCAGCAACATTGTCCCCTCCAAGTACCTTTGGATCCACTGGTCTTTGTAGGAGGCACTGAAGGAAATGCCAGAAAAAAGCTCAGACTTGTTGAAACTCACATGAAACTGATCCCAAAATGGGCCAAAGGGATTTCCTTCCTGCAGAAAGAGAGAGATCAAAGACTTACTGAGAAGGAGGGAAAGCCTTCTCGGGATAAGGCCAAGGAATTGTGGGTGGGGGAACCCTGGTCGACTAGACTTCGGTTGAAACACCTCATAGGATGGCCCAATAGGAATGTCACTTTATAAATCCTGAGCTGGGGACTGAGGAGAGCAGTTCAGCCTCCAGTTGGTTTCCTTCAAATGTTCCTCACAGTGCCTAAAGGAGTCTCTTCTACTGACATGCCACATTCCACTGACCCTGCAGCACTGGTCGGGGTAGAGGAAGGAGTGTATCTTGAATTTGGGCTTTAGATCTTGGACTAGACCTTTAGAGACTTTCAGGACCAGCTAACACAATGCCCTTATTTTCAAAATGGAAACCAGGCCCCAGACAGGCTAAGACCCTTGTCCAAGGTCACACAGCAAGTGAGGACAGTGTCGTGGCTACAAGCCAAGCCTCCGTTCTCAAATTTCATGGCTCTTTCAACTATCCTCCCTAGACTTCAGTGTAAGCACTGAAAGACACACTGGGGATTGTCTTATTCCCAAAATGGCAGAAAATTACAAATTTCTCCTGATAAAACATGACTGTTTCTTATTTACCTGCTGAAAGGCGGGAAAGTATACAAGTTAAGAGGGTGGATAATGGATCCAAATTACCTAGGGTTGAATCCAAGCTTATTTGCTATGTGACCTTGGGCAAAATATTGAAACTCTATGTTGCGCTCAGTGTCCTCTCTATAAAATGGGGATATTAATGGTACTTCCCTCATGGAACAGTTTGAAGATTAAGTGGGTTAATATGTGTAAAGCTCTTAGCATAGCACCCGGCATGTAGTAAGTCCCATAGAAGTATTAGTTATCATTTGGGACGCCTGGGTGTCTCAGTGGGTTAAGCGTGCGACTCTTGATTTTGGCTCAGGTCATGATCTCATGATTGTGAGACTGAGCCCCAAGCTGGGCTCTGTGCTAGGCATGGAGGCTGCTTAAGATTCCCTCTCCCTTCCCTCTCCCTCTGCCCATCCCCCCACTTTCTCTCCCAGTCTGGGGAAAAAAAAAAAAAGTATTAGTTATTATTACTCCTGTGGCATTTTACAGTTTATAAGCACTTTTGTAGCTGGCCCTTGTGATATTTATGAATGAGATGGAGCAGGGATTGTTGTCTTTATTTCGCAGGTAGAAATAAAGGCTCAGTGGAATCGAGATCCTCTGCGCCAACTGACACTGATGACGAATGTCAGAAATGGGACTTAAATCTCCATCTTTCTACTCCAAGCCCTTCTAGTGCCCTTCCCCACATAGTGCTGCCACAGTGTCTCAGGGGCCTAGAGGGCATAGGACAGGCAGAGAAGGTCCCCCAGACCTACCTTCATGGGGCATGTCTTCTTATCGGGGCTTCTCTGGGCTGCCACCTCGAAGCAGTATGCCACCCGCCTCTCAGGGGGCCAGTGAGTGGGTGCCAGCTTCTCCATGAAGTCCTCCAGGCTGATAATGCGATGGTAAGCCTGGAGGGGCTCCAGCTTGAAGTACTTCTGGTAGGCCACATGGAGCTACAAGAAAAGGTGCAAAAGTAGAGGCATCTCCTCAGTATCCTAGTGACTCTTTTAAAGACATTCGTTAAAACCATATACTCCAAGACCTAGAGAGCTCAGACTATAAGCCAATGGAAAAACTTCTGGAAAAGGACACCAAAGCTAGAAGAGAAAAAAAGCCTGGGAGAGATGATCTGCAAACTAACGAAGCAATAGTTGACATCTTTTATGTTCAAAAACGCTTGCTGATCTAATGAAAAAAAGACAAACAATGTAAGGGAAAACCTGAGCAAAGGACAGAAGTGAACAACTCAGCAAAGAAAACCCATATAGCCAATACATTAAAAAGATGTACAAACTCACTAGTAATTAGAAAAATGCAAGTCACCATTAAAATAACACTTCTCACTTATTAGACCAGCAAAGATTTAAAAGCTTAACTTTAATTGTTAGAAAGGAAGTAGGGAAACAGGCTGCTACATATGGCTGGTAGTTGAAATGAACATTCTGGAACAATTACTTTGGAATGTGATCTTGCAGCATCTACCAAGAATTTAAAATGTTCCTTCTACCTCTGTGTATTTTCCCTGCAGAAGCTCTTCCACTTTGAGCTGGGAGATGGGTACAGGTATGCTCAATGCCACAGCAGAAGTGCAAGAAAGACCTCAAAAGAAGTCACACTGAAGACATTAAGTTCACAACAAGGGCTGCCTCTGGGGCTGGGAGGAGAGGGTGGGACTAGCCTTGGGAGCCATGTGAGACTTTAGCTTTTCACAACTTCATCTATAATATTTTATTTCTTTTATTAAAAAAAAAAAAAGAAAGATGAAGAAAAGAAGAAAAAATGTTAAATGATGATCACATCTAGTGGGTACATGGACGGTGATTGTATTACTACAGTTTTCTGGATTTAAAAAAAAAGTTCTTAGGGCACCATAGAATAGGGGTGCCTGGCTGGCTCAGTGGGTTAAGCGGTTGCCTTTGGCTCAGGTCATGATCCCAGGGTCCTGGGATCAAGTCCCACATTGGGCTCCTTGCTCAGAGGGAAGGTGGCTTCTCTCTTTGCCTCTGCCTGCCTCTCTCCTGCTTGTGCTCTCTCTCTCTCTCCCTCTCTGACAAATAAATAAATAAAATCTTAAATAAATAAATACCATGGAATAAAAATTCAGACTTTATCCTATAGGTCAGGGTTCCCAAGCATATTCCACTAGTTCATGTAGATAAAGAGTTCTGCAATGCAAAGGTTCTGGAGTTAAACAGACCTGGGAAATGCTGTGTTACGCTGACTTTTTTTTTTTTTTCTTTTTACGCTGATTTCTTTACTACAGGACTTCTCCATATGCTAATGTGTATTCTGAATCACCAATTTTGGAGGATGGGAAATTGAGACTATAATTTCCCAAACTGATTTAACCATTGCCCCCACTCCTTCATGAGCCATTGGCATTTTAACAAACAGAATTTGGGAAATCTAACTATTAGCAACAAGGTCTTGCTGAGGGATTTTATTAATTTTTTTTTAAAGATTTTATTTATTTATGAGAGAGAGAGAGAGAGAGAGCGAGCACAGGCAGACAGAATGGCAGGCAGAGGCAGAGGGAGAAGCAGGCTCCCTGCAGAGCAAGGAGCCCGATGTGGGACTCGATCCCAGGATGCTGGGATCATGACCTGAGCCGAAGGCAGCTGCTTAACCAACTGAGCCACCCAGGCGTCCCGGATTTTATTAATTTTTTTTAAAGATTTTATTTATTTATTTGACAGAGACAGAGATCACAAGTAGGCAGAGAGGCAGGCAGAGAGAGAGGGGGAAGCAGGCTCCCCGCCAAGCAGAGAGCCCGACGTGGGGCTCGATCCCAGGACCCGGAGACCATGACCTGAGTTGAAGGCAGAGGCGCCACGCAGGCGCCCCTATTTTTTTAAAGATTTATTTATTTACTTTTTAGGAAGAGAAAGAGAGAACATGAGCAGAAGAGGCAGAGGGAGAGGGAGGACCTCAAGCAGACTCCAAGTTGAGCACAGAGCCTTATACAGGACTTAATCTCATGACTTTGAGATCACAACCTGAGCTGAAAGCAAGAGTCAGATGCTTAACCAACTGCACCCCCAAGTACCTCTTGCTGAAGGATTTTAAACAGAAATAATAAGAGATCTGACTTTTAGAAAGATCACTCAGGTGGAAGAGGAGAGAACAAATGGATGGTAAGCTTAGGGGAGGAAGAGGACTAAGGAGGCTACTGCAATGGTCCTTTTATTTGTTCAAGTACTCACTTAACGTGTATTTTTGAGCATTAAGTCCAAGTGAAGACGGAGGGCATGGACAGCTTAGGAGAGGTAAAGGAACGTGGAGTAGAGAGTAAAAGGATTACTTCTTTCAATTAGGATGACTTCTAGGTTTCTGGCTTGGTATCCAGGTGAATGGAGGTAACATAAATTAAGGCTGGAAATATAGGCAGTGACACAGGTTTGAGAGGGAAAGATGCCAAGTTCAGTTCTGTCTTTGTGAATCTGAGGTATCTCTGGGACATCCAAGTAGACTCAAGGGCTTAGGAATTAGAAACACAGGCTTATGATCAGAGGAGGGTCTGGGTCACAGATAAGATTGGGAGGTATGCAGAGAACAGTGAAAGCCACAAGACTCAACAGAAATTTACAGCAAAGCAAATAATGGTAATAATAGCAACTAATATTTATTGAGTGCTGACTTAGTGCCAGGTGCTGTACTCATCACATTTCATGGAGTTGCTCATCTAATTCTAAGAGGTAGGACCATAAACGATCTCCAGTTTACTGACGAAGAAACCCAGGCAGACAGGCTCTAGACAACTCATCTGAGGTCACATAGCTAATAAGCAAATGGAACGAGGAGACACACAAACATTTATTTTTTATTTTTATTTATTTATTTATTATGAGAGAGAGAGAGAGCGAGAGCGCGCTCAAGTGAGTGCGCATATCCGGAGTGGGTGGGGTGTAGCAGGAGGGGCAAAAGGAGAGGGAGAGAGAGAAATTTTTTTAAAATTTTATTTATTTATTTGACAGAGAGAGAGTGTGCACAAGCAGGGGGAGCAACAGGCAGAGGAAAGGGAGAAGCAGGCTCCCTGATGAGCAAGGAGCCCGTCACAGGTTTCAGTCTCAGGAGCCTGGGATCATGACCTGAGTCGAAGGCAGATGTTTAACCAGCTGAGACACCCAGGAGCCCTGAGAGAGAGAATCTTAAGCAGACTCCACGCCTAGCATAGAGCCCAACTTGGGGCTCAATCTCACAACCATGAGATCATGATCTTACCTGAAATCAAAAGTTGGACACTTAATTGACTGAGCCACCCAGGCGCCTCAAGGCACACCCATATTTAAACAGTGGGTGGAGAGAGAGAAGCCCTAGTTCCAGCACAAAGAAGAAAATGCTGAGTGGTGAGGGCTAAAGCAGAAAAAGGCTATGTCTTAGAAGACAGGAGAGTAGGGATGAGAGGCTCACAGGCCCAGGTACCACTGGGAGGATAGCTGTAAAACTAAAAAATGACCTATAGATTTGGCAATTCTGAGGTCCCTGGTGGCCTCTGTGAGAACAGTCCCAGTGGGGAAGGGGAGCCTAATGGGATAGGTTGAGAAACCCATACAAAGCAAGAAATAGAGACTCAGAAAGATTCTTGGCTGAAAAGGCAAGGCGAGAGAAAGAAAACAAGGCAGAAGGAGACAAAAAGTGTCTAAACTATAATAGTGAGTGCAAAAAATCAGCACATTGGGGCGCCTGGGTGGCTCAGTGGGTTAAAGCCTCTGCCTTCGGCTCAGGTCATGATCCCAGGGTCCTGGGATCGAGCCCCACATCGGGCTCTCTCCTCTGCAGGGAGCCTGCTTCCTCCTCTCTCTCTCTCTCTCTGCCTACTTGTGATCTCTGTCTGTCAAATAAATAAATAAAATCTTAAAAAAAAAAAGTAGTTTTTTAAAGTTTATTAAAAATTTTAAAGTCAGCACATTAGTTTAGTTCCTACTGCCAGGCCCCTGGGGATACAGTGTGAACAAAGACAGACATGGGATCACAGAGGGTCAGTGGAAGATAAAAAGAAAAAGCAAAAAATTAGAGGATGTTGAGTATCACCATGATGGTGGGTACTCCAGAGTGAAACAGCTCTGGAGCCAGACTGCCTGGGCTTGTGGCCTTGAACACAGTATTAACTAACCTATGCCTCAGTTTCTCCTTCAAACTGACAATAGCACCCATCACCCTTTGACTAACAGGATGAACAGAGGGTGGGCCCAACCAGGGGTGGAAATAGACCTTTAGGTTCAGATCACAGGTTCTGGAGTCAGACAGACATGGGCTTGAGTTCCAGCTCTACTATTCACAAGCTGTGTGACTTTGAGCAAGTTACCTAACCTCTTGAAACCCATTTCCTCATAGGAATGTGATGATGGAGAAAAGAGCTCGTTCTCCTGCGGTGCTCATAACAGTGCCTGGCACACAGAAAGCACTGGATAAGTTAGCCAGTTAGCCAGGGAAGAGAGTTCGGGGTGATTGGGGAAGGTTCAGAGGAGCAGGAGGTAAAGGCCAGAGAAGGACTTGGGGTCAAGAGGAAGCAGGATTGGGGTAGGATGGATAAGGGCAAAGGCCAGTGGGAGGTACTCACATTGGTGAAGGGAGGCCTGTGATGCTGGTACTCAATCCAAGGGGGTACAGCCAAGGTGCGGTTCAACAGCTTTGCAAAAGCCAGGGAGCCCAAGAAGTGATCAGCCTGGTTCCCGAAGCGCCCTGGATGGTATATGGTGGTTGAGGTAAGGCCTAGGGCATTGAGGGCATGGGGCATGCAGTATTTGGAAAGGTTGCAGGGCCGGGGGGGCAGGGGGGCAGGACACCAAGGAGAACCAGGAGAGCTGGCAGGATAGGATCAAGTCTGGACTGATCCTACTGCGTCTGACACTCAAGGCCCCTACCCTACTGCCTCAGCTGTTCCAGGTTCCTTGCCATTTCCCACCTCCCATCCTGACCCCGTGCCTTTGCTCTTGTTGTTCTCTCATACAGGGGTGCCCTTCCACCTCTATCTCCACTCATCTGCGCATGAAGGGGCAACTCCAATGCCTCATTCACCAGAATCACTTCGCCACCCCCCTGCTATACTCAATCCCCTTCTCTGCTTTCCACCTTGGATTGGAGCTATTTATAGTTCACTTTTTCTCAAATGTCCTTTCCCACTTCCTGGCCTTTGTACTGGCTCTTACTTCAGCCTGTGAATACCTCAGGAACAAGAACCCTGTCTGATTATTTTTGTTATCCCCAGCATGACATCCCTTCATTCATTCCACAAATACTGAGAAGCCACAATGTGCCAGGGTCTCTGCTTGGTGCTGGAATATAGGATTCAGCAAAAGGATAAGGTCTCTCCCTTAAAGGCACTCACAGTCCAGCTAGAGAGACAAGTATATAGTGGTACACAAGTATATAATGGTAAATTCTGATAATTTCAAGGAAGAACTGAAAAAAGGTCGGTGATAGAGAACGGTAAGGTGGAGATTGGTGTTGAGGTCAGCAAAGCCCTTTCTGGTGACATTTAAGCTGAGACCTGAGAATGAGAAGGAGTTGACCTGGCAGGAGTGAAGAGGAAGAAAGTGTTTCAGTCAGAGGGAATAGCAGGTTTCAGGGCCTGAGAATGTATGAGGAATAGAGAGGGAATGAGAGTGGCTGCTGCTGGGGGATCTGGGGAGGAGGGAGTGGTGGTAATGACGGGCAGAGGGCCAAATCAGCAGGGTCTGGAGTCTGAGGGTTTTAAGAAGGAATGACTTTTACAATGACGATCCATCATCCCATCTGAATTGCAGCTTTTAGATTCTCCCTTACTCTTTTCTATTTTATTTTCCCATAGTGTTCATCCTCTTCTAAGACATTATGTATAATTACTTATGTTTTATCTTTTATTGTCTGTATCTTTTGCCCATTGTATCTTCCATTGTCTGTCTTTCCCAGCTAAAAATGAAGGTTCTACAAGGGCATGGTATTTTCTGTCTTACCACTGCCGTATTCCCAGAAAAGAAAACAGGGCTGGGCACAGAGCAGGGGTCCTATAAATATTTGCTGACCGATGAAAGAATCGTCCAGAGCCAAGGCTCAGTCAGTGACATTAAGTCCTGTCCCACTAACTCCATTTACTGAACTCTAGGCTGGCTTAGACCTTGCACAAGACACATAACCTCTCTTGGCCTCGGTTTCCTCATCTGCCAATGGAAGGTTGGACACAGAGGCCCCTCAGGGCCGTTGCAACGGAGGCAGAGAGGCAAGGAGCAGGCCATGCCCCGCGCTGCGGTTCTCTCCTGGACATGTCAAGATATCTGTGGGTGCCTCAGAAGAGGGCGTTCTCCTCTCTGGGCCTCAGTTTCCCCATTTGAGAAGAGGGCTCGGGAGGCCTTACCCATGCATGGGCAGTAGAGCAGGTAACCGGCCGGGTCCCAGGAGCCTGCGGGCAGCCCCGGGAGCGGCAGAATCAGCAGCAGGAGAGACACGCGCACCAGCAGGGGCGACGATGCCCACGCGGCGGCGCCCATGATGGCTCCGGAGCCCGAGCGCGCCGCGATGCGGAGGCGGGGAGAGGAGGAGGGGCGCGAGCGTCCGCCCCGCTCCCGGCGGTCCCCACGCGCCGCCCGCGCGCCGCCCCGGCCGCTCTAGCCGGCAGGCAGGCGGGACCATAGAGAGCCCGCGGCACCGCCCCCTCCACGGCCCGAGCGCCCGCTCGCGCGGCTCCCACAATGCACCGCACAATGGCCCGACCGCCGCCACTACCGGGGCCTGAACGGGCCTGGCGGAGCCCGAGCGCGGCCCGGCCCGCAGCGCGGGGCCCCGAGCGCGGTGAGTGCCGGCGAGGGCCCCGGGGGACGGCGGGGAGCGGGGCGGGAGGCCGTCTCGCTGTGCCCGCGCGCCCGGCACCCGGCGCGGCGGCGCCTCTCATCTCGGGCCCCACGGCGCGGTCGCCCACACCCCCGACCGGGGGCCCCCTTCACGCCAGTTCGGGCCCCGATAGGCCCCATGGTGACGAAATCTCTCCGCGGATCCGATACCTGGGTCGGGGGACCGGAAGAAACCCCACTGGTCCCCTTCCTACCGAGACCTGGAGACTCAGCCCTGAGGGTCCCCTACTCTTGACCCCCAGGTTCCCTGGAGACCCAGATAACGCGCTGCTGACCTTACGAGGGACCCGGGTCTGGGGGACGCAGATAAGCTGCACCTGCTCCCTCCCCTCGGACACGCCTACCCGGACCCACATAACCCCCTTTCCTGCTCCAAATACTCCGCTTTTTACTCTCTGTTTCGTTTTCCAGAACCACACAACCCATTTTGAGGCTTCCGTCAAATACCCGGTTCTGGAGAACCCCAGTAAGCTCCATCTATAATTCCCTCCTCAGTGACCATACCCCCAAACCTTAGATATCTATCTGGTTACCCTTTTGAGACTTTGGAAGTTCAGAGAATTCACTTCTATTTTCAACTCCTGGAATCCTCCAGCCCTTATAGTCCCCCATCTCTTTTGGGGGTGGGGGGAGGTGGTCCCTTAGAGAATAAGTTAACTTGCTAATGATTCTTTATCATACTTTCCCTTCCTTCCCATCCCTGAGACCTCCTCCAGACTTCTCCCTGAATTTCTGTCCCTTCTCTGGCAGGCATCCACTCCTGTCTCTCCCAGCTCCAGGGGAGTTGAACTTCTGCTCCCTACACAGTGGAGTGGTCTAAGAAGCTGCCCAAGGAGCCTGGTTATTCCCTATAAATCCAGTCCCAGGCTCTGGCCCCAGCTGGTGGGGGAAAGGCACCTGTAACGTGGAAGATAAGGGGACAACTGGTGTGGGGGAGTTGTTGGTGCTTTCACCTCCAAGAGTAGCCTGTCTTCTGGCTTGTGTGTTTTTCCACCTGTTAGTTTAGGACTGTGATAGAGACTGGCCTTGGATTTCTAACCCTGCCCCTCACGGTGAGGCCACTCCATTGTCGGGGAGTCCTTGGGGGTGTCTAGCCAGGTTTCCTGGTAATGAAAATGGGGTTATAGTGAGTTTCAGCCATTTGCTCAAGGCCTCCTCAGGAGGGAGAGGCAGCGGGAAGGGAGGAAAGAGTGAATCAAAGGGACTGCAAAGAGGGCCCATCTATAGTGACAGAAGAACTAGCAGCCCGAGAGTAAATCCAACCCCTGTTAATCCTGTTTGATGTCTCTTGGAATGATGCAAGTCATTGAGACTCTCCGGCCTCCCTGTAATTTAATTCTCCCACCACTCTGGAGTGTGTGTGAGGGAGGGAGTGAGAGGGGCGGCTCTTCCCCATTCCTCCCTTTCCTTCTCACTGTTTTCCAGCCAGTCCGTGTGTCATTTGGATTGGTTTCTGGTGCTCAGGTCAAGACCTGGTTTTTTTGTGTGTGTGTGGTTTTTTTTTTTTTTTCTCTCAGTCTATTTATAATTTCCCAGTTGCTATTTTGGGTTCTGCTAAAGGGAAGATTCTGTCCACCCTAAGGAACGTTCCAGGGTGTGTTCCCGGGTGTGTTTCCTCCTCTGCGGGTGTTGAATTGAGTTCTTCAGATCCCCAAGTAGCTCTTGGGCTGGAGGGATAAAAGCTATTTTAGGGTAGTCACTGAAGTGGAGCTGTTAATCCTCTATGGGTCTCTCTAGTTAAGAACACTTAGAGGTTAACCCTTCTCTTGCTGCGGGGGTGGGGGAGGCTTCTCCACGGTTTTGGGAGGGTTGTGAGAATTTCCTGCCACAGCAGAAGGTGGGATAGGAACGTGCAACTCAATACAAAGGCAAAGATAATAGTTGCCTTTTGTTGGGTACTTACAGCACGCCAAGCACTACGCTGTGCCCTTTGCATACCTGACTAAAATAATCCTCACAACAAGCCTGTGAGGTAAGTATTTTTAGCTTTACAGATGAGGAAACAGGCTAATAATGGAGAAAGAACGCAGTTTCTATAGAGATGATGTAACACCATAAAAACTATCGTTTCGTCAGAGGGCAGCAGGCATCATGGCACACAGCAGGACAGACAGACTAGGGAGCAGTTTGTCTCCTTGCAGCTTCCAGAGAAGGCCTTCGAGTTTTCGGAAAGCATTTGTGTTTGGGGTACAGAGCCTTAGTACTAGAAGAGATTCCTGAGGTGAGAGAACTGTGGCCCAGGATGTGGTGGTGGAGGAGGGGAGCGCTGCGGGGGCTGGTTAGAGGGGATGTGCTGCGGGTTGACTATGAGGGAAAAGGGGAAGGCTGCATTCTGGGGAGATGTTGTGAAGGGAAGGAAACTCACTCAGAGGCCTGAGAAGTAACATTAAAAGGGGAAAAAAAGAAGTACTACTCGGGCCCTGTGCGGAAAAGAGGCAGACACAGTGTAGACCTCAGAGACAGCAGTGCATGTACTCACATACTTTAGATCAAACACTTCATCCTCCGTGAGACTACTACTATAGGTAAGGAGAATAAATCTTCAGTTTAGAAATTGAGGAAACGGAGATTCAGAGAAACAAAGTAACCTGCCCATGGTTTCATGGCCAGTGAGTGGCAGCTCTCCTGATAGTAAGTCCAAGGTTCTTTCCATGCTGCCTCCCTCTTCAGATCAGGCGCCAGAAGGAATCTTTGGATGAAAATATACTGAGTTATACCAGTAACTGGGAGGGATTGATTGTGTTTGTTTTATGGGAACAGGTTCCGTCAGCTTCTCTACAGTTGTTAAGGTTAGAGGGTGAGACCAGAAGAGCAGCTTTGAAAGAAGCAGAATTCTTTCAGTTTTGCCGAGGAAGAAGTCTGAAGGAGAGGGGCCCAGGAACTTTCCTGGAGGAGAGGAGTTTGCAGACAAAGGACAGAGGGAGAGAGACTAGATTCCCAAGAGGGTTCCTAAGGTAACAGCGGCAGCTTTGGTTATCCAGTAGGCTGTTGGTGACTATAGGTAAGGACTTCCAGTGTGCCTTTTTTTTTTTTTTAAAAGATTTTATTTATTTATTTGACAGACAGAGATCACAAGTAGGCAGAAAGGCAGGCATAGAGAGAGGAGGAAGCAGGCTCCCCGCCGAGCAGAGAGCCCGATGCGGGGCTCGATCTCAGGACCCTGGGATCATGACCTGAGCCGAAGGCAGAGGCTTTAACCCACTGAGCCACTCAGGCGCCCCTCCAATGTGCCTTTTTAAAGGGGTAGGGGGAATAGGATCAGGGTGTTGGCTGTTTCCTTTTAAAGTCATAGCCCCATTAAACCCAGATCAAGGCAAGCACATGGCTGCTTCCCTCCTTTGGTTCTGTCAGTACAACCTCGTGAGCTGTCCTTAGCCACCACCTGCCTCTTTCCTAGAAGCCCATTACTCATGCTTTCAGAAGCAGCGTACTAAACTGCTGTGTCTTGTTTGTGCTTGTTCAGGAGAACAGAAGAGGTGGACGTGTGGGAGGTGGGGGACGTCCTGTTCTTTTTCTGAGGTTGTGTGGAATTTCCAGGGTTAGGCTCCCCTCTCACACTGGCCAAAGTGATGCGATTTGCTTCCCTCTGGCTGCCATTCCCAACTTTCCAGGGGCTGAGGTGCATGATTTTGGGTAAGAAGGGGGAGCAGAATTTGACTTTGAGGGTAGGGGAAATTCCCCTCCAAACTAGATGTTTAAACTTGTGCTTGTTTTCTACCCAATTCCAAGGTGCGTAGTAATCACTGGTATTATAAACAGGTAATTCCACCCTTTAGAAGGAGGAAGGACTTAAACCATGAAAGGCAGACGTCAGAGGCCTTTGAGATTTATAGTGAAGCAGGCACATACACCACGATGACTTGAAGGCTCAAGTGGGACTAGTTTTTAGTACTGCCTACCCCTCCCCAGCACATGACTCATGCAAAATGCAGCCACCTTTGTGCCGATCTTTCTAGGCAAATCTCCACTCGTGATGGGGAAGTGTTTATCATATTATATTGCAGTGTTTCTTCAACAAGAGGAATGGTTCCTGAACAGGACGTAGCTCATGTTAATGATGAGCAAAGCTCTCTGGGGCATGAACCCGCTGATCCCATCATCTCGTTCATGGCCAGTCTGTTGGATGAATGGTCACTGTAAGCAGCAGGTGCTAATGAGCTGAGCAAGCATTCTGTGGCCCACAGCTGTTTGTGTGGTTGGAGCCTTCCCCAGATTCTCATGGACAATCCCCAGATACCCTCTTTGCTCCCTTTACATGGAAAAGCCTCATGACCAGATTTTTGGCATGACCGCTTCAAAAGGAATCCCCCTGTTGTAGCAAGTTGCTTTGCAGTTGGTAATCTGTGATGAGTTTGTGAGTGAATATGGGTCTGTTGTCCCCCTTTTGACAGTCCGTACAGTAACTCCCATCCTCTCTTCCTTTGAGTTCATGTCAGGAAAAAAGCACTGTCATCTTTGCTCCAGTTTTCCCCCTTCCCACACGCTTCCCCTCCCCCTGCCTCAGCAAGAGAAAGGATCAGACTTCACGATATTGGCTCCCCACTTTGGAAGGGCTGCGACCCCAATTTAAACCCGAACTTTCTAAGTTAGCCTTGCATCAGCTTGCATTCAGTGACTCATTCACCCACCTAAAAGTTGAG